ATGTCCATTTTTAGAACATCGCCACTTGTTGTTTCGCAAAAAGGCTATTTGAATGGTGGTGCCTGCATTAGTGGAGCCGCCTTCTGCAGCTGAAAAACGACAAATCGAAAACGGCAAATCTCGAGTGTTATGTTCAATTCTTGTATTTTCTTGAATAAATTGTATTGGAAGATGTTTTTCACGAAAACGACAATGAAATCAGATTTTGGGTGTCGAGGAGAGCTCTTCGTCTTGGTGACCGTTATACTCATGACGGATTGAGAAGTGAGTTGAGTTGTACTTTTCTTTTTCAGGAAGACCAGGTTTAAATAAATAAGCAAGGTAAGAAAGTTAAAACTGAGAAAGTGTAGCAGAACCTCAGTCCAAGCGTGTAAATACATGTGGAAGCATTTGAGTTCAGTTGCAATGCCACAGTCGATAAGTAGTAGCCAAAGAATGGATATTGCACAATGGTGACTGAGACTTGAAAGAAAATAGTTCGAAAAATAGTATGTTGAGTTACCGATCATCTGAAAAGCGTTTTGTGACTCGTTTGGTATCTTCAGAAGATCCAATTTAATCAGTCAAGACTGATAGATCAAAACAAACTTGTACAGACTCTGCATTGGCAAAAAGAAGGCAATTTAGATTATTATTTGTATATTTACTAATTTGTAGGTAACCAATTTACCCAATTGATCATTTTCTGAATCTAATCCAACCTGAACCATTAAACGTCTCTCCGCCATCGAGACTTTGGATTTATTCAGCTAAATCTCTCATCTCTTTGAGAAACACCATTTAACTTACTTTTCGAAGCTTTAAAAAGTGAAAAGTCATTGTGATCTTGAAATATGTCAGAGTTGGCGTCACATACATATTCACAATTGCACTATTTGTAAACGATGATACGCAGAAAAGAGAAATCGCTCCCGAATAGCAAATGAGAAACTGGAGGACGGTGTGTTTTGTTGTATACTTGAAGAGCATTCCATCGAAAGAAACGGCCAAGAAACGGCTAATCACATTTCGAGAGTGATGCACTTTTTTCAAACCTGATCGAGACAAAGAACTGACAAAATGCGTTCACGACGACCAAAACCCGCGAAATAGTTGAAAAGCAAACCGGCGATGCCATCGCTTGCACATCTACAATTGAAATTTCTTTAAGGGGCGACCGATTCTCGTTAGAAGTAAATAATTCACTTGGCATTATTATATGCCTCAATACGCAAAATAACCGGTTGTTTTATGCTTTTTCATCTAAAGCTAACAAATCCAAGTAGTAAGGCAAGATTGATATTAAGGTCCTGAAAATGAGGGACTCCCGAAAAGTCAGTCCTGGGAATGCAACAACAAGAGGGGTTTTCTCGTTTAAAATTAACCATATTTCAGATTATTCTTGAAACAGCCAGTCCAACAAACAAACTGAAATTGTGGCTAGAACATTCAACGAGGAAATTTTTCTAGACTCAAGCCGATGACTACGTTTTTTACCGGACACACAGTACAGGGTGGCTGAAAATTACGGGCATCATATTTCCAGCATCTGGCATAGTTTTAAACAATCTATTACTGTAATTTTACTGAAGTGTAACTCTAAAGGCACTCAGCTAACTACAGTAGGAATTCGAATAGGCTCACAAAAAGAACTTTTCAGGCTAATCCTAACAGGCGAAAATGTGCAACGATTCGTCTATACGTTACTTAAAATGGCGACTGGCCCGTGCCAAGTTTTTTTGAATACTACGTAAAAACCTTTATGAGACTTTATGTATGATACTTAAAAACTTTACCTCATTAGTCTTATTGTTATTGTTGTTACAAAGAATATATCTCAGAATTGCCTGAGATAGCGTAAGAAAACAGTTGATTGGCTCAAACTTTCCGCTTGCACTTCGGATATACAGGGTGGCTGAAAATTACGTGCGCCAAAGGTAGCGCCCAAATTTAATTTTCCTCAAAGAACTTGTAAAAATATTCATTTATTTAATAGTTAATAGTTACAACAGAAACATTTAATAATCACAAGAAATTTTCGAAGTGGCCTCCACTCGCTTTGATACAGGCTTCACCCCGCTTCTTTACGCGGCGGAGATAATTAGCATCTTGCCCGAAGCACGGAGAAAATGGGAAGACCTAAAAGGAATGGGGGGAGAGGGGAATATGCTATGAGGGAGTATAAGAAGGGCAATAGATAGGGACCATAGCCTCTCTTTTCTCTTTTTACCGGCAAAATATTTGAGAGATTCGAGAGGTTTCCAGAGAAAATTCGGCTATTTTTTGGAAATAATAAAACGAAATTGTTGGAAAACGTTGAAAGATTTTTTTTATGTTTAACATTTCAAGGCAACTAGGTAACATGAATTGCCGACAAATCTATCTGTCAGAAATACAAAGCAAGACGAGTCGTTTGTAATGAAGTCGCGGTTATAACATTTTTAAATGGCTAATTACTAGACAAGTTAGGCTTAAAATTCACTAACATCAGCTAATTTAGGGTCACGGTGCTCGATCGGCTTTGATCGCTCAACGCGGCGATATTTCGACCTTAATGTCACTTTCGAGGATACCACAAAACGCCCGCAAGACGGTTCGCGAGTTTCTGGACGATGTTGGAGTGGGTTTCTGTGTAAAAAGTGTAATTGAATCTAAAGTACATGCTTTTCACAAAAAGGACTGATAAACAGCTCGTAAATGTTTTTACAAGAAATTTACGGTAACAAATTTTTTAAACACATTGAAGCGAACAAAAATTGTTAAAGTGTCATCAAAGATTGAATACAGAAAAGGCAAGTCACGCTATTGTACCTCACACCAAAAATTCTGGAGTTAATTGGATATTTATTTTAAATGTAGCTGAGACTCTACGCTTCATTTAAAGAGGTAGAGACCGATCGTCAAAGTGCGGCGCAAAATGTGCAAATCCTTCAATTTTTGTATGGGATATGGGCCCAGGCCCTCTTCAAAGCAGCTTTGATACAGGCTTCAATTCGCTTCTTTACGCGGCGGAGATAATTAGCATCTTGCCCGAAGCACGGATTCCACCCCAAACCATCAAACTTTTGGAAACAGACCTTTTTGTAGCGGCTTTTCGTTGGCGAGTGCCCTTGAGAGCTGGACTGAACAGTTGACAGTGATTTTGTGTATTTTTAGCCACTTCTAGGGTGAAAATCTTCCATCCGACCAGAGAACATCGTCAATGCGCCGCAGCTTGGAAAAAGCTCCCAATTTCTTTGCATTTCTCCTTTCGGTTTTGCTTGGCTTGATCGGTGAGCACTTGTCTGTTTAACAGTCGATGACTTCGAAGTCCAAGCTCATTTTTCACTATTGATTGAACCGAGAAACGCGAAATTTGAAGCTATTTTTGCCATCTTGTTCAAGCTACGATCGTCTTTTCGCTCGATCCCTCCTCTTGACGATCCCACGCATTTTTTGGGTGTTAACGGTCCTCTTTCGCCCTCTTTCGGGCTTGGACTGAACATATCCCCTCTTTTCATTGCTTTACGATCTTCTGGACGGTCTGGATTAATAGCAACGACAAAAAGAATATTAACACAAAAAAATGAGCATTAATGCTTTATAGATTGTTTAAAACTATGCCAGATGCTGGAAATATGATGCCCGTAATTTTCAGCCACCCTGTACTGTGTGTCCGGTAAAAAACGTAGTCATCGGCTTGAGTCTAGAAAAATTTCCTCGTTGAATGTTCTAGCCACAATTTCAGTTTGTTTGTTGGACTGGCTGTTTCAAGAATAATCTGAAATATGGTTAATTTTTAAACGAGAAAACCCCTCTTGTTGTTGCATTCCCAGGACTGACTTTTCGGGAGTCCCTCATTTTCAGGACCTTAATATCAATCTTGCCTTACTACTTGGATTTGTTAGCTTTAGATGAAAAAGCATAAAACAACCGGTTATTTTGCGTATTGAGGCATATAATAATGCCAAGTGAATTATTTACTTCTAACGAGAATCGGTCGCCCCTTAAAGAAATTTCAATTGTAGATGTGCAAGCGATGGCATCGCCGGTTTGCTTTTCAACTATTTCGCGGGTTTGGTCGTCGTGAACGCATTTTGTCAGTTCTTTGTCTCGATCAGGTTTGAAAAAAGTGCATCACTCTCGAAATGTGATTAGCCGTTTCTTGGCCGTTTCTTTCGATGGAATGCTCTTCAAGTATACAACAAAACACACCGTCCTCCAGTTTCTCATTTGCTATTCGGGAGCGATTTCTCTTTTCTGCGTGAATATGTATGTGACGCCAACTCTGACATATTTCAAGATCACAATGACTTTTTCACTTTTTTAAAGCTTCGAAAAGTAAGTTAAAATGGTGTTTCTCAAAGAGATGAGAGATTTAGCTGAATAAATCCAAAGTCTCGATGGCGGAGAGACGTTTAATGGTTCAGGTTGGATTAGATTCAGAAAATGATCAATTGGGTAAATTGGTTACCTACAAATTAGTAAATATACAAATAATAATCTAAATTGCCTTCTTTTTGCCAATGCAGAGTCTGTACAAGTTTGTTTTGATCTATCAGTCTTGACTGATTAAATTGGATCTTCTGAAGATACCAAACGAGTCACAAAACGCTTTTCAGATGATCGGTAACTCAACATACTATTTTTCGAACTATTTTCTTTCAAGTCTGATCACCATTGTGCAATATCCATTCTTTGGCTACTACTTATCGACTGTGGCATTGCAACTGAACTCAAATGCTTCCACATGTATTTACACGCTTGGACTGAGGTTCTGCTACACTTTCTCGGTTTTAACTTTCATACCTTGCTTAGTTATTTAAACCTGGTCTTCCTGAAAAAGAAAAGTACAACTCAACTCAACTTCTCAATCCGTCATGAGTATAACGGTCACCAAGACGAAGAGCTCTCACTCGACACCCAAAATCTGATTTCATTGTCGTTTTCGTGAAAAACATCTTCCAATACAATTTATTCAAGAAAATACAAGAATTGAACATAACACTCGAGATTTGCCGTTTTCGATTTGTCGTTTTTCAGCTGCAGAAGGCGGCTCCACTAATGCAGGCACCACCATTCAAATAGCCTTTTGCGAAACAACAAGTGGCGATGTTCTAAAAATGGACATTTTTGAAATTAAATGAGAAACTTGTGTCATTAATGTTAATGTTTCCAAGTAAACCCGGATCCCACCTTCTTATAATCAATCAGTAATTGCAGTAACGAGTCCGAGTTTTTCACAATTGAACTAACCGGGCAAGATGAGTCGCATAACGGGACGGGATCAGCGTTGACCATGGAAACAGAGGCTAAAATCATTGATTTCTTTTAAATTTTGAAGCTAGACGGGCTATCTTTCTAACAAAAACTTTGAGCAATATACTGCAGTTTCTTATAGACACCTTAAAAGCATTTTTTTAGTGAGCCACAATCGAACCTTGCCTGTTTGAGCATTTATTTCTAACAGTAGGTACCTTTTAGAAGGGGCAGTTCTGAAAAGGCCACTCTTTAGAGCTTTAGCTTAGTAAGGTTTCATTGTATTTACACTTGAACGCACCAAAGGCGAGAAGAACGGCGAAGAGAAGAGCAAGGCAAGAGGAGAGAAGACTCATTGTTTCGGTTTGAAGTTGGGAACTGGTGCCAGATGGAGGTCTTTGTAAACTGCATTGTATTTATATGGAAGCTCGATTTGGTAAGCCTCTCGACGTTCACGCCCCAAAACAGCAAAAACCCCGGATTTAGGGGATCGAAAAAAACGTCAGCTGAGAACTCACAAGGGGCGATCGTTGAAAAACTTTATGGGCAAACAGATAACGCATTCCTAAGCCGAGTTTTTGTGAAATTTTAAGGGGCGAAATTTCGGATGAAGATAAGCTCTTTTGGGTGGGCTGCTTTCAAAGAGGAAGTATGCCAAAGTCCGCTGGAGACACTGTAGTTCCTAAAGAATCTAATTAAATCTTATTAAAAATCTAAAGAATCAAAACTACGGTTCGCTCCTCGGCAAGTGAATGTGTGAATTGATTATCAATGTGAATTGATGAATTCTTTAGTTAATATTACAAATCATTTTGCTATCATGATCCGCTTGGTAACACAATTTTTCTTGAGTATATTTCCCGAAATTTTCTGAAATAACGGAAAAACTGCCGTAATCTCCCTTTCCTTTTGTAAAGTTGGCCAAGATCAGCCTTGCTTTGAGTACAGTGCTTAGTATTTCAAACATAAAAGTTTTTTGAGCCGTTATGTTTACCTCGGCAATATCACAGGCATTGATGTTTGAAGTGAAATATTATTCACGGCTATCGGATTGTTTGTAGGGATCTAGAAAATCTACAGTGGCCAATGCACAATCTCAAAAAAGTAGATTTGTAAAAGTTTCAAGTTTCATTTTCCAAGTCCACTTTGCCAAAAACTTGCACACTTTTCAAACAAAACATCAATTTATCACCAAACAACCCTTTAGGACTCAAAATTCACAGCAGACCACCAAAAACACAATTTCATTTTATTATTTTCAAAAAATTGACCGGCTCAAATGGCCTTATCTATTTTCTTCTTCGATTTTTTGTGTGGTCGTTTCGCACTGGTTTTTTTAAGTATGGATTGAAAGTATCAATTTTTTATCAAATTCTTCAATGAAGTTCTTTGGGTAGCACCAGGGTTCATTCCCACAAAAAATGGAGAAGGTCTTGTCAGATATTATAGTTTAAAACAAGGTGAAAACTTTAACTTAGAAAAGTAAAAGCAATTCTTGTTGAAGAATTTCTCAAATGGGTCAGTTTTTACGCGCCAGTATAACGATCATAAATTTATTTTTCCATTTGAGCGAGCACTCCTCTAATTATTTTCGGTTTTTTATTTCTTTCCATCTAAAGTCCCCCCGTTCCTCAAAAAAACCCCTACTTGTGTTTTGAGCTGATTTTATTTAGAAGCAATCTGGGAGGAAAGTGCCAAAAAGGAGAAACGGTTGAAAAAGCGGCACCAATTCGTTATGAGTAATCCCAAAGTGTGCAAAATGTAGAATGCAGTTAATCTGGCATAATTTACCATACTGATCAAACTGGAGCAAAATCATAAATGCATTTTCTTTAAACTGTTTTGCTTCTATTCCTCAATCTAAGTTAGAAGCCAGAAAGATTTCAAAATGATGATACGAAAATGCGGAAATTTTCTGGTCGGAAAAAAAAACAAGATCGATTGAGAGAAAAGCACGCGACGCCCCTGCACATCAAGGAAAAGAAAGCCCGCAAATCACAGACTCTTGGCGGGATTTAGAAGTGGAAAATGAACTAGAGAAAGAAGATTGAGGACAAAAAACTAGAGAAACAAGAACAAGGTTGTCATATTAGTTAACATAGTTAGTTATGTACCCATCAGAAGTTACAGTACTCCTATGAAGTTATTGTACTTATAACAATTTGTCGCTGATCTTTTGTGATGGTTCGCGACAATTTGTATTGATAATTGAAGGTTGGAAAGGTTGGTCACCAAACGTGCCCTTTACCGTAACATTTCTGAGAAAATTTCTCGATCAACACCTTTGCACCTAGTCATTTAGTTTTTGGCATAAAGTACCCATCATCCCACTCCTTTGGTGCACCCAAGTGTGGTGCAATCGGCATTTACTATTGATTGTAAATAACACGCGTATTGCTACGAAGTTTGGCCTCTTTATTTCGCAGCCTCTGATTGAACCCAAGCCACTTCTTGCGCTTCTTTGAGGCTCGGAAAAGTTGGACCAACGAATTTCTAAAAGACATCGAATTTCTAAAAGACAAGTGATACATTATCTATTGTTGGACTTACCTCAAATAAAAATAAAAGCTAAGTTGGAACAACATCGAATTTCTAAAAGACAAGTTATACGCTTGACACTATACAGCTATGCAATGATTGAATGATTGAAGCGTTTGTGTTAGTTTGTGTATCATTGGTAATAGTTTAAGCTGAATTGTCAACTTGGACTTTTGAAGCTTTGTCTTGATCTTGTTAGTCTTAACCAAAAAGTAAGTAGTAATGTAAGAGTGGCTCTTGGTGATGTTCTGAAAAAGTGAAACGAAAAGATCCATTTCATCTATTACCCTAATTTAAAACGATGAATTTCATGTAGTTTCAAAAACTTTTAAAATAGTAGGAATGGAAACTTACACTCTTGCTCTCCTTTCTCTTTCGTTTGCTTTTAGGTGACTTCAGAATCTACTAGTTACTAGTTACGCATATGACTTTTTGCGATCTTTTTGTGGAAAATGCGGAAACTTTCTGGAAGTGGAAAATGAACTAGAGAAAGAAGATTGAGGACAAAAACTAGAGAAACAAGAACAAGGTTGTCATATTAGCTAACATAGTTGACAGTAGGAAATATGACAACTAATATGTCAACTAATACTAATGGCGGGCGTTTAACAAAGGGAAGGTTGCCCTTGCCCGGGCTGCCGTATACTATCCTTGCTAAGCCAAGCCGTCGACTTCAGAAGCTACCTGTACCCATCGGTAGTTACAGTACTCCTATGAAGTTATTGTACTTATAACAATTTGTCTACGTCGCGAAAAAGCTACCATAGCTTATTGGATACAAAATGATAAACCCCGAACTCACTACACAACAAGCTAACAATGTTGTCAGAGACTATCAGAGACTTTTGGCCGGATTTAAAGGGAAAAGGTGGATGAACGTTTGTTATTAAAGCTCAGTTTAAGAACGATGGCAGCTGTGCAAATGTAAACATTGAAAAATAAGAACTAGAGAAAGAATATTGAGAACAAGAACTAGAGAGAAAAGTGGGCAGCTATGCGAACTGTTCACTTTCTGGTCGATTTAGAGGAAAATGAAAGTTACAATCGTCAAAAAGGGAGCTGATAAAAACTATAAAACACGGTTCTAGGTTGTATTTAAAAACTCAAAATCGGCAACAGATCAAATTCACCAGATTTTTGAGTTGAATCAACTCAAAAATCAAGATTTGGTGAATCACCAAATCTTGATTTTTGAGTTGATTCACTCTGGAAGATAATATCATTCATTGCTTCAAAAAGAAGGACTGACTCCTGAAGGCGCAACACTTCTCGCCAATGCTCGTCTCGAACAATCGATCAACGGTGTAAAGGATCAACTCACAGATATTGAACTAGATGAGGATGATGATTCAAATGATGATTCTGTTGTAGATATTTTTGTCTAGTTAACTTTTTGTCATCAGAAGTCAATAAATTTTTGGAAAGTTGTTTTTTTGAAAGAATTTTGGAACCAAACCTTATATCGGTCTTACCTTTTGACTTATTTTTTGCAGCGCTAAGCTTTATTGTTATCAAAACTGAATCTAGAAAATAATCTATCATGTTTTAATATTATATAATTTTTTGGAAAGATGACGAAGAATTTTCGGGATGGCTAAATTTATTCATGTCAAGACAAACTGTCAACTTGCCGGCACACAACTGTATTTGAATCTGTCTTACTTTTGTAATTGATAAAACTTTCTAATAGTATTGCGGTCAAGGAAAATAAAAATATTAGTGCGCACTACTACTAGAGAGACCAAGGTAATCAAAATCAATCTTTGGAAAGGTTCGTAAAAGCTTGCTTCTGCCGAAAGCGAGACCGTACATCGTCGGCCTGCCATTACATCCTGCGGATCA